CGACGGCGTATACTTCATGTACGAGGCGCTCCACGGGCCCCCCAAGAAAATCCTGGTGGAAGGCGCCAACGCGGCCCTTCTCGACATCGACTTCGGTAAGGCCTGGCGGGCGCTCGTCCTGGCAGCCTCTGTCCGCCAGGGAAGACCAGGCCGAGGGAGCACCCTGGGGGCAGGGGCAGGGCCAAGGCCGCAGTGACACCCACACCCACGGAAGTGGTCCCAGCGTCCCTGTCCCCAGCTTCTGCAGGGGAGGGGAGGAGGGAAGGGTGGGGGAGCTATCGGGGGAAGGCCGGGACGGTGGCAGGCAGCTGGCCAGGCTGCTCAGAGCAGCCCTCGGTGGTCAGTTTGTCCCTGTCCCTGAGCCCACGGGCACACCAGCTAAGCCCCCATCACCACGGTGGCCTGGCCACCTCTGTCCACACCAGGAGCAGCCTCCTCCCTCTCCTCACCCCACACTCGTGCGTGAGCCATGCAGCCCGGCACCCAGCGCGCCAGGTGGGCCTGGGCCGTCAGACCCACTCAGGGGACACTCGGGGAGTGGAACTGCCTGCTGCCTGGGCGGAGCATCGGCGGGGGTGGTGGGCAGCCCGACCCCATCTGTCTTGCAGGGACCTACCCCTTCGTGACCTCATCCAACTGCACGGTGGGCGGCGTGTGCACAGGCCTGGGCATACCCCCCCAGAACATAGGCGATGTGTACGGCGTGGTGAAGGTCTACACCACACGCGTGGGCATCGGGGCCTTCCCCACCGAGCAGATCAACGTGAGTCCCCAGCCCCCACCCAGGGGAACACAGGCAGGGCGCCCAGGGGCAGGGCGAGCTGCAACGCGGCGGGGGCTAAGGGGCCAGACAGGGTGGCGGTTGATGGGGGCGTTGGATGTTGGCGTATTCCCACCACACTAGCACCACGTGGCCTGGGCCACGTGTGTACACGTGTGTGCACATGTGTCTGTAGGACCTCATTTCCCTGGGGAAGTGAGAGGCCCACAGGGAGGGGGTGCCTTACAGCCCCCTCGGACTCCCCTGTCTGGGGCAGCTGGTGGACCACGTTGGCTCAGAGAGGTCGCCGGCACCTGCCCTCAGCCCTGTCCCAGCAGGATCTGGGTCCGTCACTGCCAAGCCAGAACCAGGCTGAAAGCAGAGCCCACCGCCCTCCTCAGCTCTTTGGCCTCGGGTGTTTCTGGAGCTGCCCAGGAGGCGCAGCCTTCCTTCCTCAGCCTCACCCGTGAGCCCTGGCAGGCAGGGCACAGCCCTTGTGCCGAGCAGGGAGGAGGAGCAGGTGCTGTGAGTGGCTGGGGCTGGGTGTCGGCAGACACACGCATGCCCTGTCCCCAGAGCCGGCTGCAGGGCCAGGCCCACGCCCCACGAGGCCCAGGGGCTGGTGTGTTCCAGAGACCAGCTCGCCGGCTCAGACTGCAGTGGCAGCAAGGCCCTGCCGGGTGTGAGCCTGGGCTGCCAGACGCACCTGCCAGGGACGCAGGAACCAGACACCAGGGGCAACTCCATCAGGGGGTGGTGGCTTCAAGGATTCCCCTGACCAGGGGATGAGGGGGCCAGGCCAGGGGCACAGGGCTCCCGTCGTGGCCTGGGAGGATGGTCGCTCTGCTGTCACTAGGAAATCGGAGACCTGCTGCAGAGCCGCGGCCATGAATGGGGAGTGACCACGGGCAGGAAGAGGCGCTGCGGCTGGCTAGACCTGATGATCCTCAGATACGCCCACATGGTCAACGGGTTCACCGCGTAAGCAGCCCTTCCTTGGGCCATCCGCCGCCGTCCCCACCAGGACCCCCACACCCACAGGACTGGCACCTGCCCAGGGGGCCGGGCCGGGACCCTGGGGCTGCCTGGTGCAGCCTCTGGCATCCTCGAGGTTCCCATGCTGCTGTCCGCTCTGCTCACCCAGGACACAGGCCCAGCGGGTGTGACAGGTGTAAGCCAGGGCCGGGCCCAAGCCCTGAGATCTGCAGAGCCCCGGAGCGCGTGGTGGGCTCTGCCTCATCTGTTCCCCAGCAGGGACATCCTGCCGCAGGGACTGCGGGACTCGGCAGCAACAAGCTGGCAGGGACAGCAGGCTCACATTCACCCTTGGGCCCCAGGGGGCACCTGGCATTTCTAGAAGCTTCATCCTGCGGGGTGGCACACAGACGGGGCCCAGAGGAGCCACAGACCAAGGCAGCTGATGACAACATGACGCTTATTGGTGGGGCCCAACTGGCAGGAGCTCCCAGTGCTTCCCACAGTCCCACAAGCCAGCCTCAGGCTCCCCCTAGAACCACGGGGAGGTAACTCGGGGCTCAAAAGAAGGGTGCAAAACCCCAAGCAGGAAAGGCCACCTGCACAGCCCACCTGAGGTCCCTCACCTGCAAGGATGACCCCCACAGCGTGGGCGGCCACGAGGTGAGCGTGGGTGGGGCACCTGTTCTCACACCTGTTGGCAGTCGTGGCAGTTTTCTGGGATCACCTGATCTTTATCTTCTACTTGCCATCGTAAACAACAGAGGAGAAACGAGGGTGTGACGCGCAAAAGGAAGAAACCCCAGCCTTGAGGACCCTTCTCCAGTCTGTCTCTCTGTCTCGGTTTGGACAGGCTGGCCCTGACAAAGCTGGACATCCTGGACGTGCTGAGCGAGATTAAAGTGGGTGTCGCCTACAAGCTGAGCGGGAAGAGGATCCCCTACTTCCCAGGTATGGGAGACGAGGTACTGGCTTTTCTGTCTGTTAGTCTGTTTCACGGGCACCAAAACGGGCAGGACCTGCAATTTCTCGGAGACTGGGCAGCGCCTCTCACGTTGGGCAGGCAAAGGGCAACACGCCTGTCCCCGAGATGCACCTCCGGCTCTCACGGGTCCTCCCACGACAGGCCCCACGGCGGCTGCAGGTGCCCACTGGTGGTTTGTGAAGGGCTCGGGGACAGGCCTGGGTGGCTATTGGGAGCTGACTCAGCCACCTTGACCTGCCTCAGGTAAAAGGCCCACCTCCGGCGGGCGTGGGGTGAGCCTGAGTCAGGATGGGGACCTGACTGCTCTGGAAACCCTAACGCCCCAAGCAAATGTGAAGGATGACGATTTCATCTAAGAAAACATGCTTTTCGGTTAGATTTTTAGAGGCGTACTGGGGTCTCTCCTGCCCCTGTGCATCCCTTCTTCTGGAAGGCAAGAAGGAGATGCTGTTCTCTTGGATGTCACGGTTACCCGCGCATCTGGGCATGCCCCTCAACCTCAGGCCCAGATCACGTTCTGGCCCCACGTCCCCAGTAGGCATGAGCAAACTGCCCAAACCTCCTCTGAGCAGGCCCACATAGGTCTCGAAGTGCCACTTGGCCTCAGGAACCTCGTGCGTCCTCTGGGCAGTGTCCCCTGGCCCTATGACCCCTGACCCCTGTAAGAGCTGAGGCTGCCAAGTCCCCTCCAGAGCCCCAGGCAGACCCTGCCCGGCTCCATGGCTCCAAAACCATTGCAGCAGGCACCCTGTTCCAGCATCTTCTGTCAGTAAGGGGTGACTGGCTCCTAGCCTGAGCTGCAGACCCCGCACGGAGTCCCTGCACCCACAAAGCTGATGCTTTCGGGGTGAGGGGACATAGATCCGTAAGCATCCTTTAATGCTCCAGGAGTCTAGAATCTCCTAGAATGTCCAGGCAAGGCCTTGGAGTTCCTCGGCTGATGTCACCGTGGAGGTTTCAGCAGTTAGCCAATACGTGTCCAGGGTGGGCATGTCCCATGGTCGGGAAGGGGTGCAGCCGGTGTCCGAGCCCCCTGCCGGCTCCCACTCACCACCCGACACGGAAAACCAAACAGTGCCTCACCCACCCTGGACCCCTTCCTCGCTGCGAGTCCCTGGGCAAGCGGGCCCTGGGGTGGGGGCCGCCGTGTCACCAAACGTCTGTGGGACCTGCTCCTCCGTGTCTCCCAGCTAACCAGGAGATACTTCAGAAGGTCGAGGTTGAATACGAGACGCTGCCTGGCTGGAAAGCAGACACCACGGGCGCCAGGCGGTGGGAGGACCTGCCCCCACAGGCCCAGAGCTATGTCCGCTTCGTGGAGAACCACCTGGGAGTCCCAGGTGGGTGCCCTGCCTCCCCCGGCCACCCCTCCCTGCCCCCCAGGCCCTGGGCACCCCAAGAGGCCCACATCCCAGTGCAGGGCTTGGTGCACAACGAGAAACCAGCCAAGTATGGTCTCCGGGAGAACGTATCACACAGAGCGAGGTGAGGAGGGCCCAAGCCAGGGGCGGGTGTGGCCCTGCCAGGAACAGCCACCTGTCAGCGGCTGGGACGGCAGACAGACACACCCCCTCTGAGGGCGCGCTTGCTCTGGCAGCACAGGGAGTCCGCACCCACAGCAGGCCGCAGGGAGACGTGCCCCTGCAGACGGGGTGGCCGGTTCCAAGGGGCAGGGTGGGGGGGAGGAGCTCCTGCTCTCTGCTGCACGTGGATTAATCCTCCAACACGTACGGCCTGTGTAACTGAAAAATTAGAGCTATTTCCATTTGAAGAAAACACAGCCCCTTTGCTGTATGAACCACATAAACAGACGCGACATTAATGACAGTTTCACTCCACGAACGCTCTGCTCCGCCCTCGCAGTCAAGTGGGTCGGTGTCGGCAAGTCCAGAGAGTCGATGATCCAGCTGTTTTAGACCAGCCGGCCCCTGGGCTGCGCCGGCGTCCCGCCCCACAGAGACAGCAGCGGCCACGGCCCTTGGCCACCACAGCCAACACCGTGAACAAAGAAACATGAGAACGATTTCTGGACTTTTGTATTTCTATTGGAGCCTTCAGCTCAACACGTTGATTTCTACAGTGATTTTAAACATCAGAAAGCCAACCTTGTGTACATTTTTTAAAATTCTGCTCCTTAAAATGAGCCAAAGTGCTCAAAACGGAGACCTTCTGTGACACACAGTCACACGGTTGTGTGCCCAGGTGGAGCCATGTCGTAATAAACATCCAGTAGCCACTGAAGGAGAGTGGCGGTTTCACGGTTTGACTTGTCCTCGTTGCTTTTAAACACTGAACGGTGACATCTCACTGCGCAGAGCATGGAGGACGCGGCTGCCCGAGAGATGCCCGTGCTGTTGGCCTCACAAAGCGGAGCCGTGTGTTCGCTTAGGAAAGAAGCCTCTGTAAGAGAGCCAAGTACATTAAATATGTTTTTGAAAACTAAACACAGCTGGGTGCAGTGATCCCAGGACTTTGGGAGGCTGAGGTGGAAGGACTGCTTGAGCCCAGGAGTTGGAGACCAGACTGGGCAATAGAGCAAGACCCCAGCTATAGAAAAAAATGAAAAAAAAAATTAGCCAGGCATGGTGGCGCACACCTGTAGTCTCAGTTCCTGGGGAGACTGAGGCAGGAGGATCACTTGAGCCCAGGAGTCCGAGGCTGCAGTGAGCTGTGACAATGCCACTGCACTCTAGCCTGGGCCCACCTCTAAACAAAACAAAACTAACTAAACACATAAACAAATTTCACTCTAAAGCTGTTGCCTGGGCAGGACCTGCCCCGCTGACCCAGGACTTCCTGTCCTCCCCATGGGGGTGACAAGGCCTCGCCAGCAGCCCCTCCTCATGCCAGTGGCCCGAGTGGCCGCCGTCCCTCTGGGTTTCCTTTGCTGGGATGAGCCACGTCGTAACTGGCCGGAGCTTCGTGAGGCACGTGGTGGCCTCCTTAGTAACTTCTCAGAGTGTGGGGGAGATTTACAGAAACATCCGCCCTCTGGGTATCCTTTCTGAGAGGGGAGGGGTTCCCCGAGACACGCCGCCCTGCAGGCTGGAACCAGACAGGGTGCCGCTGCGCGTGCGACCCGTCCCACAGTGGGGACAGAGTTCTGTGGGCTCCGGGCTCTGGCCGACCCACACCTTGGAGACGCCCAGTGGCGGGCTCCATTCTGAATTCCCGTGACTCAGGTGTGCAACCAACTTCTCTAAACAATGCCAAGCACGGCCTTCGGTGACCTGAGAGGAGGAAGATACATCATGCCACAGCGGCTGCTGGCCCTCCCCAGCGGCGTCAGCTCTCGGCAGGTGCACGTGTTCCTTCCCTAACACAGCAAGAGGGACAAAGGGAGAGAGCCCTTTGTCGCCGCAGGGAAGCTCCTGGGGGACGGGAGATGGCACCTTGTGTGACTCGACCCTCACACACAGCAGACATTTTTTCAAAGGAAAAAGAAATCATTCCATTCTGTACAAAAAGCTACAAGCCTCGCTTCACAAGTTTAACCTGCCACTTTGTTGTTTCAGAGACAGGGTCTCAATCTGTCCCAGGCTGGAGCACAGTGGGTGTCATCATAGCTCACTATAGCCTCCAACTTCTGGGCTCAAGCATCCTCCTGCCTCAGCCTCCCAAGGAGCTAAGACTACAGGCGTGCGCCACCATGCCCGGCTCATTTTTTTCTCTTTAGAGATGAGGTCTCACTATGGTGCCCAGGCTGGTCTCCAACTTCTGGGCTCAAGGGATCCACCCACTTCGGCCTCACAAAGTGCTAGGCTTATAGGTGTACACCACTGCACCTGGCCTCAACTGCCATTTAAATTAGAGAGCTGCAAAAAAAGTTTTCAAACCTGTATTTTGTAGTAGCTGCTAAATCCTCCACAGAGACACAGTTGTTGTCATTGTTTTTCTTCATCTCTGGATGAAACCTTGAGGCGGAGCCACAGACAGTGCCAGCAGGTATCTGTGGAGGTTCTACTGGGTAAGAGGACACCAACTTAGAGGGGAAATGGTTCTTTCATGTGTTCTAGGGTCAGGAGGCTCTGTCTGTCATCGAGTGATAGGTCAGTGCAGACAACCAATAGGCAAACAATACAGGTCCCCATCCCTTCTCTTTGAGAAGCAGATGTTGTGAGCATCTGAGTTGTTAAGATAAGGGGCTGTCTGCACATCACATGGAGAACACGGCCCCAGTGCAGATGAGGCAGTGGCGGTCTCTGTGCGATACACGGATAAAGGACAAATCGGTGATTTGATAATTATGGTGAATTCTTGTCATTTTATGCTGCCTCAGCATCCATTTGGATGCAAGCTGGACTGTCTCCCACCAGAAACAGGACTCAGTCACCCTCAGCACAACTTCCAGTTCTCTGGCTCCTCCCGTTCCTCAAGGTGGTCAACCAGGTCGCTGCCTTACACCACCCCCCGACCCCCGGTGACCATGGGACAACTGGGTTCAGCCTGCGTGACTCACCCCACTGACCCCCATCCTCATGTGGGCTGCACACGTGCCACTGTGACCACTTCTCAGTCCCAGCAAGATTCCACGGGTCTGGTGCCTGCTGGCACTATGCCCACTAATCAGAACTCCCCACAGGAAACCACCCTGGACAATGCCTGGGCCCCAGTAAAGGCTTCGGCCCACGGGTCGCTCACTCCCTCAACTGCTTCCTACCCTCTGGTGATCACACCTGCCTGAGGCAGGCCGCCCTCCTCTCTCTGGACCTGTGGGTCACACAATGCCTCTGTTACTTCAAGTGTCCTGTTGAGTCGTCCCCTCTGTGCCTTACCTGACACACCTGAACCTAACTCTTATCCTGGTCAGGGCTCTCCTAGTGAGCAGCTGACTTGATAGTAATAAACAGGACATGGGTCAGACAATAGTCTCAAGGTCGCCTGCCAGCACACGAGGTAAGTGTGAGAGGGGCGCCTGGTCATGGTCACACACTCAGGCATTGGACTGTCCGCCAGGATGAGGATGTATCCCGTAAACACTTGCTGTGAACACCCACTACCACCTCCCTGCAGCCCTGACGGAGCAGGGCTAGAATTCATAGCCACTCTCCAGACAGAGACGTCAAGACTAACTCAGAGGGCCAGGCGCGGTGGCTCACGCCTGTAATCCTAGCTCTCTGGGAGGTCGAGGTGGGTGGATCGTTTGAGCTCTGGAGTTCGAGACCAGCCTAAGCAAGAGTGAGACCCGTCTGCACTAAAAATAGAAAGAAATTAGCTGGACAACTAAAAATATATAGAAAAAATGAGCAGGGCATGGTGGTGCATGCCTGTACTCCCAGCTACTTGGGAGGCTGAGGCAGAATGATCGCTTGAGCCCAGGAGTTTGAGATTACCGTGAGTTAGTCTGATGCCGTGGCAACAAAGTGAGATTCTGTCTCAAAAAAACAAAACAAAACAAAACAAAACTAGAGTAAAAGTATTGACACTGATGTTGTTCAAGGAAATGTACCTGACTAACAGGACCCCAGAGAGGGACAGCCACAGAGACCCGGTCAGAGGGGAGCAGGGACCGCTGCTGAGCAGGACCCCAGAGACGGACAGCCACGGGCGCACTGCACGGCGCGGGGACCCCCAGTCAATGAGCCAACTGTAAAAAAAAAGGGCACTTTTCAAACAATGGAGGAAATGTGGGCAGCGCGGGAGCGGGCCCTGTCGCCCCTGGGCCCCGCGTGGGCCTGCGGGACGTCAGCTCGGGCTAGCGGGAGCAGAAGGCTAGGAATCCGCCACTGTCAAAACCTAGCAAGAGTCGGTCGTCCTCAAACTTGGGGAAAAGGAACAAGGAAATATAAACAGCGCCCAAAGCTGTTAGGGACCAAAACGAAGCGGACTCGATGCTGCCACTGACCTATCCGGCGCCGCGCCACCCGCGAACCCCGCCCCCGACGTCGCCTGCCACTGACCTATCTGACGCCGCGCTTCCCACGAGTCCCGCCCCCGACGTCGCCCGCCACTGACCTATCTGACGCCGCGCTTCCCACGAGTCCCGCCCCCAACGTCGCCACCGACCTATCTCGCGCCGCACCTCCCATGAGCCCTGCCCCCGACGCACAAGTTTCTCCCTATTACTGTCTCCGACCCCGCTGCACAGTCCCAACTCTCAGCCTTGCCCCTGGCCCTTCCTGTGCCACCAAGTACAGCCCTGGCCTTGCCCCCACCCTATCCTGCGCTGCGCTCGTACGAACCCCGCCCACGAGCTCTCCTCCGGCCTCTGCCGCGCCGGGAGCGCACCCTGACCCTCAACCTCGCCCCGACCTTTCCCGCGCTGCAAACGCCGTCGCGCGAACCCCGCCCCGACGTCGCCCCCAGCCTATCCAGCGCCTAGTTGCGCAGGAGCCCCGCCCCCGACCTCGACCCCAGCCTATCCTGGGCCCCGCCGCGCCCTCGCCCCGCCCCGCCCCCGCCCGCAGATTGGCGCGCTGCTGTGACGTTAGGGAGTCAGTGGTCTGGCGCGCGCGACAGCGGAGCTGCGTCGCTCGGGCCCCGCGGCCATGCCCAAGCGGGGCTGCCCTTTCGCGGCCGCGGCCCCGCTGCAGCTCAAGGTCCGCGTGGGCCAGAAGGAGCTGAGCCGCGGCGTGTGCGGGGAGCGCTACTCACGGGAGATCTTCGGTGAGTGCGGGGGCGGCTGCCGAGGGTTCGCCGTGGTGGGGCCTCCATCCCACCGGGCCACAACTTCCTCCATGAGGTGGCGTCCACTTTCCCGGCCCCGAGTTCCTGGGAGCTGGGAGGACGCGGGGACACCGGCTGGCCCCATCTGGGGTCAGTTAGTGGGACCTGAGTAACTCCCAGGGCCGTCCACTTTGTCGCTGCCCTTGTCGCCACCCCTTCCTCTACGAGCTCTCCACGAGTCACGGTCCTCAGTGAGTGGCGCCCGCTTGGTGCTTTCTTGGGACTTTGTCGTCCGGACTTTGTGAGGGATGCCGTAGTCTCTGCGCTCAGGGCCCCGCAGGCCCTGGGAGAGGTCAGGGGATGGGATGTCCTGGGTGGATTAAGCTGGAAAAGCGCCTCTTCTACCCCAAAAGGTATTTATGGAGCACGCCCGCCCCGCCAGGCGCTGGGCTGGCCCTAGAGACCAGAGGCAAACAAGACTGACGGTGCCCTGCGTCCCGGGAGCGCCCAGCCCAGTGAGGGAGGCCCACGGTGAGGGTAGGCTCAGGTCGCTGCAGCAGCGTCTGCAGGGATATCAGAGAAGGCTTCTTGAAGGAACAGCCTAAGTCTAATCCAGCAAGGCGAGTAGGAGTTAGGCACAGAGGGAGAGGAGAGGAAGAGGGCAGCATAGCGGGATCGGAGTGAGCAGAGGCGGGGGTGCCAGAGAGTAGAGTAGCAATTTCCAGTTCAGGCCAGATGTGAGGGCAGTGAGCTCAGAGGTGAGTGCGCCATGATGGTGGGGCCTGGAGCAGGTGGGGCAGCAGTTTCCTATCTGAGGTGGATTTTCCTATGCAGGCATTAGGCATATCGCTATTATTGATCATCACTTTGGAATGACTAGTATCTGGGGCAGGTACAAAGTGGAATTTACCTTGCCTAGTGGTTGGGGGCACAAGGTTTATACTGTGGAGCAGTGAGAGAATGACCCAAGGTGTTGGTAACTGAGTGGTGCCACTTGCTTTTTGGGAATGGGGGACAGAGCCCAGCCTCCGGGTCAGCCCCTCTCCAGTTCTCTTCCTCTTGCTGCATCTCCCCAGCGTCAGCAACTGCCCCGCCCTCTCCTTGCACACTAGGGTTGCAAACTCAGATGCCTCACAGGCCGTGCTGGTAATAGATGAGGAGGGCAGGGAGTCTGGTGGAACTGTAACTGTGTGCCCTCTTAGGACATGTGAACTAAACAGGAAGCGGACCAGGTCAGTCTAAGTCTTGACTGTCTCGTTGAGTACTAGGGCATTTGCAAGAGCTTGTCATTCACAGGGCTGGGTCGGGGAGGGCGGCTGGCTCGCTGGGCCTTCCATAGTAAGCGTGACTCAAGTGGTGAAAGCCAAGCCACAGCTGTCACCCTGATCTCTTTGCCACGGTTATACCACAAGTCCTTGAGGACAAGGATTAACCTCACCATGTGACAGCCACTTATAAATGAGGGGACTGTGGAGGGTCAGGAAGAAGACATGCAGGTTGTGGCTGGACTGTCATCAGCCACTCCATTAGTTGCCCTGTAACTGTCACTGCTGTCCGTTTTATGTGGAGCTGCAGGGTTTCTAGAATCTGTCCCGGATGGGGTGAGGTAGAAAAGGAAGAACAAAGCATTGCTGGGCCTGGAGCCGGGTGTTTGACGTTGTGAAGTCCCCCAGGTGACTGAACTGCAGCCTGATGGAAAGCCAGTATTCTGGGGGCTGAGTAACCACTTCAGCTCCCAGGGATAGTTCGGTCTGGAAGGTTCTGGGATACCTTTGTCAGGAGCCGGCTGCTGCCCTGTCTTGCCAGCAGCTCTGCAAAAAGTGAAGCAGTGGGACGCCCACTGACCTGAGGTGGCGGGCCAGCTCAGTCTCTGGCTGCTTCCTGCTTGGGTGGGCAGAGGAGGAACCTGTCCTGTGAATTAGCTTGCCACAGAGCCTGCTTTCAGGGTGGCAGTGCTGCGGGAGGAGGCACAGCCTGTGAGCTGAGGCCAGCTGTGAGTTGCAGGTGAGAGTGATAGGAGAGGAGTGTCCCTGTCTGTGTCCTTTGTGTCGGACACAAGGGGGGCTGCAGGGCAGGAGCCCTCCTGAGGACATGGCAGCAAAAGGCGGGAGGAAAGAGCAATCTCGCATGGAGACAGAGCAGGACCCACCTTGACAGGACCCCGCTTGGGCTAGGGTTACTGGGTGACAGAGGCCCCAAAGAGGACTCACTGCCCGCCCAGCGGGGTCCGTGTGAGGCTTGCAGGGTGAGGTACTGTGCAGGGGCGTCCTGTGCTGCACAGGTGTGAACATGAGGGTGCTTTGTCTTCCCCAGAGAAGACCAAGCAACTCCTTTTCCTCGGGGCCCAAGCCTACATGGACCACACATGGGATGAAGGCTGTGCCGTCGTTGACCTGCCCGAGTCCCCAAAGCCCGGCCCCGTGGAGGCCCCGAGGGCTGCACGTGGGCAGATGCTGATTGGACCTGACGGCCGCCTGACCAGGAGCCTTGGGCAGACCTCCGAAGCCGGTGAGTGGCACTGGCTGTGGCACCGAGGGTGGTGGTGGCATGTGCATTTCTCTTTATTGACAAAATTATCTGCTCAGAGGCCCCTCCTACCCGGCAAGCAGGAGTCCAGCCAAGTCTGATGAGTCAGGCAAATGCCGGACGGCCCCGAAGGCTGCTGTTACCCAAGGCCTGACCCTCACCAGTGTCCCAGTCTGGACATGGTTAAGCAGATTCTAACTGCTGGGCCAGAGAAGGAGCAGAGACTCGCCTGGGTGCCCCACCTGCTTTCCACCTGCAGCAGGTGGAGACACGCAGCTTCCATACCTGTGCGGTGTGGGTCTCAGACCATCGCCTGTGCTGCCTTTTAGAAACAGAGTCACTAACCACCTCCAAATCTGGTCTGTGGGTCTAGGAGGGGCCTAGGACCTCTTTGCTAACCACTGAAGCAATAGGCCACGCAAACACAGGTGGGCTACACAGAGCTCTGACACCAGCGGTTGGGGAAGAGCTGAGCCCTCCAACCCAGGCCCAGGTAGCAGAGAGTTCTAGGGAAGGGAAGGAGCCCAAACCCGGAGTCACATGAATGGCCACAGGCGCGTCTCACCCTAGAGCTGTCTCCTGTGACAGGGGTGTTGTGTGCTCTGTTTGGCTCACAGGTTGTCAGAATGATCCAGTGCTGGGTGGGGTGGGGGTGGCATATACCTGCCCTCAGGTATATGGGGAGGTGGGTGACCCTGCCGCCCCATACTCTTCCAGTGTCCTTTCCTGGCTGACAGTGTGGCATTTTTTCCTCACAGACCCATCTGGGGCAGCGTCCATCGCCTGCTCCTCGTGCGTGAGAGCCGTGGACGGGAAAGCGGTGTGCGGCCAGTGCGAGCGAGCCCTGTGCCGACGGTGTGTGCGCACCTGCTGGGGCTGTGGCGCCGTGGCCTGTGCCCTGTGCGGCCTTGTGGAGTAAGTGCTTTGATCCTCCGAGCTGCCATGATCATGTCCTCAGTGAGCCATACGTGGGGGGGGGGTCACCCACAAGCACCTGCTTGCGTGGCCCCTGGCACCGTGCCGTCTGGCATTGCCTGACGGGATGTGACCGTGATAGATGCTTGGCCCGGCTTTAACAGTTAGTGACCCTTTCTGAAGAACCAGGCTCCCTGCTCTTCGCTGGCTATGGCCCTCTGTCTTGGGCAGCATCCTGTTCTCATCTTCTCGGCCCTCCTGTTAGGACCTCACTAGCCAGCACTTCTCGCGGATCTGTTTTCCGTGTAGCTTCTCGTCATCTGAGGCAGCCCCGGTGCTTGGCGGCAGGTGCACGCTGTGGCTTTTACTGTGGCTGCGTCTGCGTGGCTATGCGTTTTCCTTAAGCAGGTGGGATGTCTGCCTGACCTGCCCTTTGTGCCTGTGTGTCTGCCGCAGCTGCCAGGACCCCGTCCTTGCTCAGAGAGTGCTGGGCGGGGGGACCGTCCCCACCCCAGTGGCCACTCTAGGCAGTGGGTAGGAATCTGCCCTGTAGGGCAGACGACGTCACCCAGAGTCACGGGGTGGCTGCTGGGCTGAGACAGAACCACGTGTCACATCTCGAGTTTCTTCAGCTGGATGGGAGCCTGGAGCCCCGCTGGGGGTGGGTGCGCTGGGGAGCAGCGCCGAGGCTCTGGCTGGTCCCCCTGGCTGTGATGTGGGAGTAGGGGGACTCGGCGTCCTGTCTAGGCAACTACAAACGTCGCATCCTCTTTCTTTGGTTTCCACCAACCC